TTTTTAGACCAAATATTACAGATTTGAACAAATACGCACAAAAACATCAAAATTAGCACAGAAAMAGTACTATATAACATTTTAGACACATTCTAGACAGTTTATCAGCTAAAAAAATGTTAATTTTGGGGTAAGTTACTCTTTAAAATAAAAACAGAATCATACTTTCATTGAAACAAGCTCCTCTGTTTGGGCTGAAAACAGTAGTTGGTAAATACAGAATAAATGTGTTATCACACATTTAGTGTATTTCAGAATACATGTGGTGAAAATAGTGGATAGAAAGTTTCTAATGACTTGTTTAGCTGATCAGGTGTTTATTCAGCTGTTTGCAGTACGAGTTTAGTTTTTGCTTTTCAAGCAGATGTACAGATTCAGTTAGGAGAAACGTTCTCTTGTTGTTTAAAATCAACCCTGAACAATGAGTAAAAGTCTGTTTGTCTTTTTCCTTCTTTAGATCTTTGAGTGGTGGTATTTCAGGAAGTATGGGACCTCGTTCATCGAGCAGGTGTCTGTGAGCCACCTGCGCCCCCTGCTGGGCGGAGTGGACAGCAGCTCTCCCACCAACTCAAACACTAGTAACGGAGAGGCCGACTCCAATCGACAAAGTGTGTCTGGTAGGAGCTCAACACTTTTCTCATCACCTCTGAGGGGAGAGCTTGTTTGTGTTTACAATCTGCTGCGAGTTCAAAACAACATTTATATAAAAACATCAGAAACAGGAGATTGTTCAGGTCTTAATTTGTTTTTAATCAAATTTTATTGCTTCAGATTTGGCTCCTAGTCTCAGAGATTTATTATTTCATTCGTTTTCATTTTGCAGTTTTACTTCTAATTCAGGATTTCTCTCTTTGGATAAAGTAACAAAGTAAAATTCGTAACAATTCCAACATGTTTTCTGCACACACGTCACTTTTTCTGTTCAACTGTGCACCTTAAAGCTGTGAGGACTAGAAGACTAATGTTTTAAATTTTAAAACCTCAGAATAAAGAAGGTGTTTTTTTATGCACCTTTATCTGTGTTGATTAACATCTGGTTATTTGCCAGAAAATTAATGACAGCAGCAGCTAGCTGTAGCTCTTCCAGTTCAACCTGGGACTTTTCCAACAGGAGTAAGTTTTTCACTAGTATTGACAAAGAAAGCAGAACTGACAGTACTCATCTACAACAGGTAAAATGTTAATTGTTCGTATTACTCAACAAAACCCCACTTGTAAAGCTCTGAATTAGAGCTGAAAATGTCAGGAAAACCTGCGATGTGCGATAACAGTGCTTAATATTGCGATAATGTGCAATAAATGAACATATATATATATATATATATATAATAAAAATAAAATAGTAATGATGATGATGATAATAATAATAATAATAATGATAATAAAAATATTAGTAATAATAAGTCCAATTTGAATGAGAAAAATGAGCTGTATGGTTCAGACCTCTGATTGGTCCATTGGTTGTTTGTTCTGGTGATAATTAACCATCCTGTTAATGAGTTAATGTGAGTGTTTGTAGCTGAGGCTGCAGTGTGCAGCAGGTTTGCAGCAGCTGTAAAAAGGTTTGCAGGGTTTTTCCTGGTCGGGGAGCTGCAGGGTAGATCTCAGTGTGGAGCTGTTTGAAGTGCACTGAGCGTGCTCAGTGTTGACTCTGTCCTTGTCACTCATCATCAGTGTTGTCCTCTGTGTCTTCCTGCTGCAGAATGTAAAGTTTGGAGAAATCCGCTGAATTTATTCCGTGGAGCAGAATATAACCGGTGAGTGGAAGCAGCAGAATTCCTCCTGTTGGATCGTCTGTTTCTCTCTCTCACTTTTTCTTTTAGTCGTTCACCTTCCTGCCTCTCATTGGTCTTCATCAGTGTTTTGTTTACTTCATCACTTCATCTGCTGCTGGTATCTCTTTGTTCCTTTGTTTTCCTTTGATTCGTCTCTCATGTTGAGTCATCCATCACATTTTCTTTGTTCTTGCAGTTGTTTTGGAGATTGAAGCTGGCTGCTAATTGTCCTCTCTTTATCTCTGTTGAATGAAAAACGAACCCGTCAGATCCAGTGTAGCGCAGCACCTCTCTCATTTTGATTCTTCTCTTCATGAACACTCTAATGCCTTCTCTTGTACCTGTCCTGGTGTTTCTGTGCAGTTATACATGGGTCACAGGCAGAGAGCCGCTGACCTACTACGACATGAACTTGTCGGCGCAGGACCATCAAACGTTTTTTACCTGTGACTCGGACCACCTGAGGCCAGCTGACGCCAGTAAGAGAGCCGTGACTGGATGAAACAAGCCACGAAGTGTTTTACCTGTCCAGGTACGGCATTGTCTCCATGTTCAACATGTGCTCTCCCTGTCTGTGCTTTCAGTCATGCAGAAAGCGTGGAGGGAAAGGAACCCACAGGCTCGTATTTCTGCAGCACACGAAGCTTTGGAGCTTGAAGAGTGAGTTTCTTTTCTGTCTCGTTTTGCCTCCTTTCATACGCGACTCTAATGCTGCGTTCACACCAAACGCGATTTCAGCATCAGGAGCCTCAGGTTTACATGCAAAGTCTATGGTGGACGCGCTTCAATCAGCGTCAGGAGGTGCTGCGGCGCCTCAAGCGCGATTAGAGCAGCGCGATTTGAACGATCTGAGCATTCGACGCGCTGAGGCGCAAATCACTGAAGTTAGAAAATCTGAACTTTTGCAGGTCGACGCGCCGCGTCAACCAATCAGAGAGACTCCACTGTGTGACGTAGTGACATATTTCCTGACGGGACAGTTTACTGAATGATGTCCACTAACCTGAAACAGATGGAGAGGAGCTCTTTAGCTGAAATCGAGTGCCTGCAGTCAGTGTCCTGACAGGAGATGTCCTCACCAATGCGTGGCAGCGGCTCATCAAACTGGACTCGGGACAAAAATAGACCTGAAAGCGAGCTGTGAGCCTCTACTCTGAATTATCTGGTGAATTAATTATGAATTAATTATCTGATGAACGTGACATGCTCTTGCTCTCTGTAAATAAAGCAAAGCCACTTCCTCGTCCGACATTAAACAGAGCCCGACAGAGGAGGGAGGGGCGGGGAGGCTCTTCCTGTGCAGCGCTTCAAGAGGCTGACCTGCGTCTGACCTCAAAGTGCACAAGCTTCAAACTTCAGCGTTGGCTGTGATTTTGAAGCTGAAATCGCGTTCGGTGTGAACGCAGCGTAAATCTGACCTCAGGTGACTGAACTGCAGAGGGTCAGCCCAAAATGTCTAATCTGACTATAATCATCTGCATACAGAGCAGGGGGTTATTGTCTTTGTTAGTGCCAGGTGTAAACAGGGTTTTTCTCCCTTATTTTTTTTTTGTTTGTGCCCATTATTAGAAAAGATGAATGTGATGAAACATATTTGGCCTGATGGTAATTATCAGCCTGTTTCTGAGGAGCTGCAGAAGTGCAGCGCCACAGTTGGAGTGTTTTGGGTGAGGATTTAATCAGATTCAGGATGAAACATTTGACATCAGCAGGTGGTAGATTGGATCAGCTGGAGAGAGAGAGCTCTGATATTATTAGTTTCATTTGGAGGGTTTGATTTGTTTTCCTTGTTTTCAATCAAACTGGTGTTTGTCAAAGAATATTCTCCATAGAGACCTTTATTTTGGTCAAGTAGCAGAAGATAACCGCTTTAATTGTGTTATTGTTTATAGTGATAAATGAGTGTTGCTCTATGAAAGAGGATTAGGACCACTGAAAAAATAATAATTCTGATTTTAATCCCAGAGTTCTGATGAAAAAAAGTCAGAATTCTTCAAACGTTCTGTTATTTCTGTGGTTTTTTTCTCTGTTCTCTTCACTGGTCTCTTCACTGGTCTCTTCTCTGTTCTCTTCACTGGTCTCTCTGTGCAACAGTTTATCTTGAAACTTCTCCACTTGCTGTGTTTAGGTATGCATTTGTTAGCTCTCTGGCTGTGTGCTAAAATACACACGACACAAAGACAGGATGAACAGAAGGCTTCAGTCATTTATTTTCACTAATTAGATGTTGAGCTTTTTTATGTGCAGAGCTGCACAATGTGTCACAAATATACATATCATCATCTCAGTATTCATACTGCAAAGGACTGCTTGGAGAGTTTTGGAGTTGTACTTTTCATGCTAATGCAACATTTAGCCAGTAGGACAGAGTCTGACAGCAGACACAAATGACTTTGTAAAAAATGTTAAAGGTCACAGGTTAGAAAGAGAGGAAAGAAAAATAAAGACATATCGCACCTGACATTATCACAATATTTACTAATATCACCATTATCAGATGGTGCAACCCTAAGCTGCTCTGTTAAAACTGTAGCAGCTGCTGGTGTGCTCCTTTGTTTCCCTTTCTTGAATGTTTGTAACTTTTTTTCAGACTCTGCTTTAAGTTTAAACCAAATGCCTACAACACTGCTCCATCTATGACGTTCTCCGTTGTTTAATGACCTGTGCAGAAGTGACGTGATTGGTGCTCCTCTTGAGCTGCGACAGCAAACATGGTTCACTTTAAGCCCGACGGGCCCTGTACAGGGCCAGCAGATGGTGTCATTCATTGTTGTAAAACTTATTTTTCCCAAATTTTTTCTAAGTTGGTCACAAAAAGTGTCTTTAATGTTTTTAAAAGGAGTTGCCAAATTATTTTTGGATAAATATTTATGAATTTAGAGCTATATAAACGTTTGTAAGTTACTTGAACCGTTGCGGACCATTTCAGTATCAGGAAGTTCTCCACATTTGTTGCTGTGAAAGTTTTATTTCCATACCCCTCCCTTTGGTATCTTTGAAAAGACAAAGCTCTCATGAATTCAGGGATATATCTTGACACTGTGTTACTCTTTGTTTGGTGACGTGAMGTTTGTGCGTAACCGAGAGTATAAATAACTGCCCTCATGCGTAAAACGTGGAGGCGGAGTTACGTTTCTGAAGGCTCGTGGGTGAAGAGTATGATAGTAGATTTTGATGATGCACAGTGTAAATGTAAAAAGAAAAGGTTATGTCATATGCAGAATGAGTCCTACAATAGAAATCAACACTTTTATTAAACCAGATCCTTTTATAAAGTAAAAACCCATTTGGCCCAGTTTTTGGTACATTTGGCTAAATTTTGCCAAAATGTCATTTCCACCTGGCACACTGCTCACTAAAACCTTTGTGAAATGAAAATACTTCAGCTTATTCAGTCCTACTTTGCTACAATTTTTCTCAAGATGTAGATGTATAAAATCTAAGGTCGTTCGTGGGTTTTCAGAAGAATTTTCATTGGGTTTTTGTACTGTTGATTTAAAGAAAAATTAGGCGATGCTAAAAAAAAAATTACAAATTTTCTTTATTTAATCACAAATAACTCGGGCACAGTAAGAGTTACAATAGTGGTTTCACTTAAGAAATTATCTTTAAGATCTTACCTTTACAGAGGCACCAAGAGTTAGCATTTAGACCGTATAACTGGAACTATTCTTGCTTTATTTTGCTGTGTATTTTCAGGTGGAAATTACCTCTAAAACCCCTAAAGGTCTTAACAGAACAGCTTAGAGTAGTGGAGCTAACAGGCCTTATAACCCTCAGAGTCTTTAAATTGTTTAGTTAAGATAAACAACTAACATATAGAGCAGAAATGTGTTTAAACTTTAGTGCAAACCGTCAGTTAACCTTGTTAGTTAGGGTTTATTTTCAGACTGAGCTCCTGGCTCAGAGGACCTGTGGAGGCTCTCAGCTCGTAGCGCTGCAGCGACAGCAGGCTGACTCAGAGGACCTGATCTTTGATCAGAGCTCTGTCAGGTGCTGCTTGTGCAGCAGAGACACCACGCTGTGCACAACAACAGAAAAAAAATTTCTTTGCATCGTCTTGAGAAATCAAAGGAATGCAAATAACAGGTGCACATGTTTGTTTTTACACTTCAGCTTGTCCCTGTCCTCCTCCTGTAGCTGTGCGACAGCGTACATCCTTCTGGCAGAGGAGGAGGCCACCACCATCATGGAGGCGGAGCGGTTGTTTAAGCAGGCTCTAAAAGCTGGTGAGGGCTGCTACCGCCGCAGCCAGCAGCTGCAGCATCACGGTACTCAGTATGAGGCGCAGCACAGTGAGTACAGACAACCAGATTCACACTTTACATACAGTTAATACTGAGTTAGTGTTCCATCATGTTCTTTGTGTGTGTCCACCAGGAAGAGACACTAACGTGTTGGTGTATATAAAGAGGAGACTGGCCATGTGCTCCAGAAAGCTGGGTCGAACACGAGAAGCAGTAAAAATGATGAGAGATGTAAGAACACATCCTGCAGAGGATCGGCCCCACAAACCGTTCACACACATCCACCTGGTCTTTAGCTCTGAAAACATTCAGAAGCTTCACTGTAGTTCTTACAGAGTCAGTGATGAAACCCCAGTAAAAACAGAGTGTTTGCAGCTGTAGTTTTTCTCTGCTGACTGCCGCCCCCTGCCTGCTGTTACATGTAACAACAGTTGTGTGTTTTCCAGTTAATGAAGGAGTTCCCTCTCCTCAGTATGTTCAACATCCACGAAAACCTGCTGGAGTCGCTACTAGAGCTCCAGAACTACGCCGACGTCCAGGCTGTTCTGGCCAAGTACGACGGTGAGACACACACACACACACACACA